ACATTTTTCAAAACTCACTGAACTGATTCAGTTAAAATAGACAAACTTTATTGCCTTGAATTATACCTCAATAAGGCTAATTAAAAAAAAATACAACCTCAAGGTATAACAATTACCAGTATTACTGGTGTAAAGACAGTGAGCTGAATGAAAGGTCAACGCTATGACAAAATTGTGTCCCCAAATTCACCTGTTGAAGCCCTAAGCCTCAATGTGACTGTATTTGGAGATGGAGCCTTTATGGAAGTAATTAAGCTTAAATGAGGTCATCAGGGTAGGGCCTTGACCTGATAGGATTAGGCCTTATAGCTTTCTCTCTCCCTGTCCCACTCTGTCTCTATCTCAGTCTCTGCCTCTCATTCCATGTATATACACCCAGGAAAGTCCCTGTAAGGACAGCCAGAAGGTGGCCGTCTTCAAACCAGCAAGAGAGCCCTTTCCAAGTTCCTAGGCTGCAACACTACATGTGACATTTCTGCTTCGTGAACCCATATCAGTAAATTCGGCCCTGATCCAACTTTATAAGTTTAGCAACTTACAATCTTTTTTAAAAAAATTTTTATTGGAGTACAGCTGCTTTACAATGTTGTGTTAGTTTCTACTGTACAGCAAAATGAATCAGCTCTACGTATGCATATATCCCCTCTTTTTCGGATTTCCTTCCCATTTAGGTCCCCACAGAGCACTGAATAGTTCCCTGTGCTGTACAGTAGGTTCTCATTAGTTATCTATTTTATACATAGTATCAATAGTGTATATATGTCAATCCCCATCTCCCAATTCCTCCCACTCCCCCCTTTCCCCATTTATAATAGTTATTGAGGCCAATCTCTGGACATGAGGAGGCTACCTATTGTCAGACAAATCCCTGCCCCTTGGTGAAGGCAGGTGCGTCAGTCCCCAGGGTGGCCAGAGGGCACTGGAGGACAGACAGCCCTGCGAGCATCCTGGGCCTGAAGGTTCTTCATGGGGAAACACCTTCCGAAGTTCATTAAACCTGTGTCCTGAGATGAACAGGACGGGCCTTCCTTCCTTGAAGCCGCGTTTCTGACTGTGCTAAATTAAGGTGAGTCTTCATTAAGTGCTGAGCTCTCTTTGGATCCCAGGAAATAAATACAGAAGTTGCCACCCACGGGACTTTCTGGAAACCCAGCCCCTCAGCCCCGGAGCAGTATCAACCCAGGTACCTGACACCTGGGCGTGTGTCTGAGCTGCCAGGGAGGCCTGGCTGGGCTGGAGCGGGGATCCGGCCCCCAGGGGCTGTGCAGTGAGGCTGCTCCTCTGGTCCCCATCCGTCTGGGCTGCAGGGAAGCCCAGGAAGCTGCCAGCATGTCCTAGAACCTCCCACAACTGTTCACACAGTTGCAGACAAGCCCTGGGGAAGGGACAGAGGCCGTGAAAAGGGAAGGGCTTGACCAGGGGGGAGGGGCTCTGGGACACCGGGCAGGGGAGAGCGGAGGTCCCTGAGGGCGCCACCCCAAGCCAGCCTGGCTGGGAGGCACGGTGTCACCTCATTGTAGCAAGACAGCCCACCAGCCAGGGGAAGGGGCACTGCTCAGCACCCAGGTGATGCTTAGGTGTGCAAACCCCAGAAACACGCTGCACTCTGTGTGTGTGACCCTGAAATGGTGGCCTCGGGGATTGCAGAGGACACTGTGCTTCAGCCACTTTCTCAAGGCTGTGGGGTGCCAAGGCTCAGCATCCCTTCCCGGGTCCCCACCAAGTGTAGCGAGAGGGAAGATGAAGCTTCCCCTCATTTCACGGGAACGCTGCTGGCCAGGCCAACTCCCAGGGTGTTCCCAGGAGGTCCAGCAGTTGGGGCCCAGCCTGCTGTGGGTACAGCTGTCCACTAAGACCATGGCATTAGCCAGGGCCACAGAAGGACCCCCGGGGAGGGGACCTGGCAGGGATTAGCCTTCCTGCATCAGCAGGGGAGACCTGGGAGGGGCTGATGATCGGGCACTGGGGTGAGGAGATCCCATCTGTCCCCCCACTTAATAGGGCCTGGACTATCGGGTCAGTATGTGTGACTATAACAATAACTGGCATTAATTGTCATGAAGCCCTCGCCACGTGCCCGACACTGTTCTAACCACGTCTCAGGAGATGTGGAGAACCTCCCCGAGGTCACACACCAGCACTGTGATGTCTCCTGTTGTTTCCGCCCCAAAGACCTGGCCCATCCCCCCTCCTGTGACTGCCTCTCAAAGCACCTTCATTACCTGAACCAGCCGGGCAAGGACCTGGGTGAAGCCCCGGAGCCCGGAGACCAGGACAGTGGGAGTGAGGGGCGGAGCTGCCGTCCCCTCCCCCTGCCAGACCCTCTGCACCAAGCCCACCCTTCTCCACCCTCAGCTACGTCCCAGCTGAGCCCAGCGGGGCTATGGGTGCCCCTGGAGGGCGTAGGCCCAGCAGAGGAGGGGATGGAGGGGGGAGGAAGAAAGGTCGGTTGTCTGACGGAGGGGGGTCGGATGCTACCAGCTGCTGCTGCAGGGGCAACGAGGACACTCCCCAGGGGCCACCTACAGAAGGTGGACGGGGACGGTCTGAACCACTCTGGGGGGCCACGCCGTTCTCTGTAATCAATGGCGCTGGAGCAAGCGGAGGTATGGAAATAACGCCAAAAAGATTTAAATGGCCTAAGGATTCCCCCGCCCGGGGAACGCCACTGAAATTGCTTCAAAATTTAAAAGTCTGCACTCAGTTATCAAAAGGGCCATCGGGAGCCGGCTGGGAAATGAGGGCGTCAATGTGTCAGAGAGAACGTACGAGAGGAGGTGGGGTTGGGGTCGTGCGCGAGGACTCCTGAGAAAGAACCAGGGCTCCCGCAACTGCAGCCCTGGAACAGGAAGTCTGAAACCAAAAGCCTCCACCAGACCCCAAATCCAAGACAGCCGGGGCCGCTCTGGGAGTAGCACAGTCCAATTCCCAACCCCAGGGGTGTGGGTACGAAGAATTCATGTGTCAAAGACCCTTTCCCCAATGTGCCAATACCAGGACCGGCCTTGGCTCTGCGGGGGCCGAGCGCAGGGCTGAGTCGGGACAGGCGAACCACACGTGAGGACATGGCTCCCGGTGAGGAATCGGTTCACTAAGGCCGCGCCTGTCCCCAGCGGCCACTTGTCTTGAGTGTTTCAGACCCCGTATTCCAGCAAGAGCCGTTGTTTCATGCAGCTTATGTGTGTGTTATTAGCAAGATGAAGATGCCTCAGTGACCTAAGAGTGTATGGGGCCCCCTTCTCAGCATAGGGGTCCCGAGAGGGAATGTGAGGCCAAGTCCCTTCCTGAAAGAAACACTTTTGAAAATTCCCTCCTTTCGATGCAAAGCCAGTGTCACCTAGAAGGAGAGGCCCTGGGTTTCCAGAGTGACCATAGGCCCCGTGCTGGAGGAGGGTTAGGGAGGAGGGACAGGCCACAGAAAGTCTGGCCTGGGGTCACCCGCCTGCACTTCCACCCTTGAGCCGAAGAATGCCAGGACCCCTTCACCCAGATGCCTGAAATATCTTTCACGGAACGACTTTCCCGCACGCTTCATAAAAGGCTTGATGGAAGCTGTCAACTACCTCTTTGGAACAGCTTTCAAATCGCAACACGATGGATGCTGCAGCCGTGCGCTCCCAAGCCTAGGGGAGAACTCATAGGAGCTAATCTGGCACAAGCCCCGACTCACCTTTGGAAGAGGTATTTGGGTTCCTGGCACGAATTTCAAAAGCAAGTGCTCAGTGATGCATTTGTAAAAGCAAAGCCGTTTTGTAATTGCAATCTGAAATTATATGTTGCTCCAAGAGCAGCATATAATTTTTAGTATGTTTTTTGGGGTAAAGTCATTTGAATTTTAATACAGTGATTTAGTACGAGAGTTATAAAGGGATCATGGATTCTGAAATTCCTTACATGCAATACTTTTTCACGGTCAGGGTAGCCTGAATGTATTAGATGAATTCTTGCTCTTCTAGCAAATGAAAGAATCTTAAAATTATACACACACTCGTACTCTCAACCTTTCTCTCTCTCTCTCTCTCTCTCTCTCTCTCTCTCTCTCACACACACACACACACACACACACTGCTATTGCCACCTCTGTGTCAATGAAGCCAAAATGAAATTTAGCAGATTTTTAGTGTTTTCTTTATTTGAAGAAATTGCATGTGAAGCCATTGAAAAGGATAAAAAGCAGATTAAGAAAACCCAGGAATTCGGGAAGCATGAAATCTGAAACCATAAGATGATGCATGTTCTTCTTTAGTTTCAGGACATCCAAGGAGCCTGAGGGGTTCTCTGAAGCCACTGACTCTTAATAATGACAGTCTAGAAATTTAAACGTGACATTGTTGGTGAGCATGCCAGAGAGCCAGGGTGCCTGAGCTAGATGGCCCCGTGGGTTCACTGGACTATAGCCCTTAGTCCAGCCGTCCCTGCTGGAGAAGGAGCTGCCTGCGGGGCACAGTCCCCTGGGGCCAGATGCCCTCTGGGAGTCCATTCTCCCCAGGTAACTGGTAATTTTCCAGGTAGACACTTAGGTCACACAAAAAAATCACTTGGAAATTTCTGAAAGTAAAGGCCATGCTCTTTAGAGCACACTGATGTTCTCAAAATGGGAAGAGGCATCCTTCAAGGATCAGTGCATTCTTCCCATCTTTTGGAATACCCGGTCTTTCCTTGATCTTATCAAACTCAGTGTCAGGGACACACTGTAACTGAGGGGTGGCGGGGGAGGGGAGATGGGCTCTCTTGGGACTGGCGCTGGGGCAGGACCTGTCACTCGTGGTCACGGGAGAGAACTGTGGGGTCCACGAGAGAAGAGACCACATCTGCTTCACTCTGGGTCCCTCTCACTATGCCCAGCACAGCACGTGGCATTCAAAGCACCCAAAATAGTGATACCACCCCACTGTGCTGGGACCTGGGGGTGCGGCTGAGAAAGGGATGCTTTCTGCAACCATCCGAAAGCCACAGTGGGAAGGCTGGAGGGCTTAACTTATTAAAAAGAAGCTGTCGTTGTTGAGAACATTCTGGGATTGCCTTTTGAGCTGGTTCACAATAAAGGTGGCTTCCTACACGAGGACACTTTTTCCTGAACTGGTCACCCACTGGGTCCAGGGGCCTGGCCGGGATGGCATCAGGCATCCTGCCCAGCCTAGGACCTCCCCTGCCCCAGCTCCCACTGCCCTCGAGAACCATCCCTGTCCAGGAACTGGACGTTACCTTGCACGGAGAGCGGGAAGAAGCACCAGGGCACTTGGGGGATGGTGTCGGAGAAGCAGCACTTCCTAGAGGCGCACTCCTCGGGGCTGATGCCTGGGTAGCCGCAGTTCTTGCGCGCCGAGACCTCCATGACACACTCCTCCAACTCTGCCGCGTGCCACCGGATTTGGGGACGACAAGGGGACTCAGTTAGGCCAGCTAGCTAACCAGACACGTCCATTCCATCCTCCCAGGGGGGCGCCGCTGGGCTCACAGGCTCGGGGTAGCATGAGGGGCTTCTGAGACTGTCACCCCTGGGCTAAGAGTGGGCGCCAGCAGGTGGGCACCCCTTCCTCCTGATGCCAAAAGTCAGAATGTCTGGAGGGAAAATCGTCTCACCTCCCTGGACTTGACATTGCTCTGTAAAGCGGGGTGGTCCACCGTACCTCCTGTGGGGACCCTTTAAGGATGTAAAGCATTAGACCAAAGAATTGAAACCCAGCGGTGCTTCCACTACCGGGAGAGGCCTGGCTACAACCAACCAACAGCCAACCATCGGGCCTGTTTCCCCCGGAACCCGGGAGCCTCTGACCGGCAGCCTCGGGGGCTGTGGACGGGAGGCCAGGGTGTTCAGTTCTACACACACGGATCAGCTTCGCACACAGACTTTTTTGTGTGCACGCTTTGGAGTCGGAGACTTTCTAAATTGATAATATGCACAGGCACAAAACTCACTCTCAAAAGGTAACTCAAGAAGACTTAAGTGAATTTCTTAACATTTGGGGTCTGTTTGCAGCTATGCTAATAATGCCCTGATTTTAATGCCTCATGCCCCTTAGAAGCTTCTTCAGGAGCCACAGCGAAGAGGGGCCTCAGAATTGTTTTTTTTCAAATACTGTAAAACGTATTCCAACAAGGCTCCCCAAAATGGCAAACGGCTGGCCCTTGGGGTCCAGTGTGGACATGGGGGGGGCACATTTTCCCTTCCCTGGAGCTGGCCCAGGTGGTGTTGGAGCCCTAAGAAGCCAGGTCACAGAAGCCCACCCGGGGCACAGGAGGAGGTCCCAGCTCTCCTGGACGTTACCTTCCTTGGGGAGGGGCTTGAAACACCAGGGGACCCCGGGGATGCTGGAGTCGAAGCAGCAGCTGGCGGAGAAGCACTGGTCCCTGGAGATGCCCGGGAAGCCGCAGTTCAACCTGTTCTTGGTGCTCACGCGTGAGCATTGGCAGGGATCTGCGGAGAGGCCCTGGCTCAGCCAGCCCCCCACACCTGCCCCCAGCCCCCGGGCACATCCGGGACCCCCCAGCAGTGCCACTCCCACCCTGGGAAAGGCCGTCTTATCTTGGTCGTATTTGAACCAGCCAGTGTCCTTCAGAGGAACTGACAGGGCTTAGCTAAAAGGGTTTTCTTAGTTTAAAAATAAAACCTTCTGGCAAGAGGGTGGACAGATGCACTCAGGCCCAGATCGGGATGAAAGTGGGCAAGGCCGGACCCCTAGGAGCCCTTAGTGGGCCTCCCACCCAGCCTCTCCTGGAGCCCCCGCCCACCTGAGCCTGAGGCCATCCTACTGATCCTGAAGGGGGCCCTCCTGGGAGGTCTCACCCCCCTCCAATGCCCCCCTACTGCCCTTCCTGAGTGGCGGGGAAGCGGGGGGATGCACACAGGAGCTGGCTGTGTGGCTAGCGTCCCAAACCTCAGGACACCTTCCCACCTGCTTCCCTTCTCAAGTTAACTCATCACCTGCGTTTTCTCTTTGAGGGAAACTAACAGGAACAGAGACACCCCGAGGGGCAGAAAACAAGGACCTCTCATGCCCTCCCTGCGCTCGGGGCACTAGAGGCCTCCCCAGGCTCGCTGGTCCGAATGGTCCCCACGGCCCCTCGAGGACCTGAGCCCTCGCTTACCAGGTTTCTGGGCCCCCCCCAGGGCACAGAGCCCTAGCAGAAGGAGCGCAGCCAGGAGCCGGGTGCAGCGGGCTCCCATGCCCATGCTCGGCTGCATCCCAGGGACGCTGGAAGAGTGCACGCTCCCCACTGCGGGGGGTTGTTTTATAAGCTTCTCTCTGTTTGCTCAGTAAGCAAGATAACCCCCTCTCTCCCCATGGCACTGACACTTTGGAACCTTTGTTAGGAAAAGGAGCTGAGGTAGCTTGGCTGAAGTGCCAAGTGGCGACAGAGCAGGCCTCCGGGCTCCCGGAGCACAGCCAGGCTTCCCCCGACCCAGGCAGGGAGCCAGGTCATGCCAGGATGCCAACATGGAAGATGGGCCACGTGCACGTGTGGCGCTGGGTACTCACAGGGTCCCACCCAGGAAGGGAGAAGTCATGTATTTCTCCTGATAAAGTACTTGGCTACCACAGGAATTTTAAAATATTGGGCCCAAGGCTACTGGGGGAAATGACCAGGCCAGCCGTGGACAGAGAGAAGACCCCTCCTCCAGGAATGGGAGGGTCTCCGAGGAAGGCAGGAGACCCTCCTTCAGGGCTGCAGACCCCTCTCTCAGCCCCTGTCTGTATCTCCTTGTCTCTGTTTTGGGGAGGGGGCTGCTCTTCGTGGAGATGAAGCTGTCCGGGCATACGGAATGGCCCCAGATGAGTGTAGAAGTAACAAGTTCGTTTTAGCAAAGCCTGAAGTGTGTCATGTTTTTCTTCCATGGGAACTGTCTGTGTTGCCTAAAAGATGGCACCTGTAAGCCAGCCTATGCCCAGGATAAGATGCTCCGGGGAAAAGACCCTGTGGATGGGACCCAAAGAGAGAAAAGAAAAGTGGAGATGAGACACACAACACACGAAGGGGAATGTGGAGGAAAGAGAGGATCGTAAACTCCCTACTCTGGGGGACTTCCAGGAGCCACCAATCTGTCCAGCACGGCTTGAGCAGCCAGGAACCCAGAGATGCATGGAATCGGAAACCCTGGGTCCTCAGAGTCTGGGGAGCTCAGGGCTTCTGCCAGATCCAGCTCCAGCCGCCCCAGACCTGCCTATTCCCCCACTGAGCAACCACCATGACTCTATCTTTGCAAACCTTGAGAAAGTCACCTTTCCACACTGCGTCCCTGTCACTCTTAGTCACCACCAGGACATAGGGCCCCAAGTCCTCCCTCTTCCCCCAGATTCTCACCTCCACTTTCCTCTTGCTTCCTCCCCCTTGGCCCGACTTCCCACTGCGCCCTCCTGGCCCTTCCGGGATTCCCACCAAAACCGCCTGATCCATGCCAAAGAGACGGCTTATCAGCCCCTTGGTCTCTGACCTGCTCTGGCCCTAACGGAAGCCTGCATCTTCCCTGCGATGTTCCTCTTGCATGCATCTCAGGTGGAGGTGCTCAGGCCCCCATCCAGGGCACCATCCGCCCACATGGTATTTTAGTGCTTTTAGAAAAAGGCACATTTTCTTCAAGACAATTTACTTCCACTGTGGGGAAGTCATTACGTTAGATACAGTGTCTACAGTATGAGTGGCACCCACCTGAACGTGGAGCTCTGTGCACGGCACAACCTCTAAGCTGCGTTGGGCTCAGGCTGGGGGTTGGACATTGACCTTGAGCCCCAGTGTCACCATGCTCCTAGGAATCGCAGCTGTGACTGTACCACCTTCAAGGCTCCTGCCCCACCGTCATCAGCTGGCTGTCACCCTGCTCCTCGTTAAGGGTTTGGCACCGCGCTCGCTGTGTCCCTTGTCACAGCAAGATGTGTGACATCCTGGGTGGGTTCAGCACTCCAGGGACATCTCACCCAAAGCCACAGGAGCTCAGGTTTTTATTTCCTCCTCACCTCTGGGAACTTCCATCCCTCCTCCACTCTGCCACCCCTCCCATGGCCACACTCAGAACCCGTACTCCACCTCTGAAAGAGGACATGCAAATGTCCTTTCTGTTCAGGATGTCTAAGCTTCTACTGCTTCCTCGTTACTCCTAAACCCTCCAGTCCCTTAACCCCTCGGCTTCCCCTCTGAGCACTGTACCGTCTGCATCTCCCCCTCCCCTCCTTCTCCAGCCTGGTTCCCGCGGTCCCCACTCCACCTGCTCCCCCCCTGTCTTATCACCCCCAGGAGTACCCATCTGTTGACCATCTCCAGGCCCTCCCACCCCACCTGCTGCGCTAGCTGGTGCTGCCACAGGAGCGCTCAGTCTCAGACCCATCCCACGCCTAGTGGGATTGCAATTCTTCTTTGTAGTGATGTTACCTATCAGTTCTCACAGGAAACAGAAGCCAAATGTGGGGTCCCTTAGAGGTCACCCATGTCAGTCTACTTCTGATTATTATGGAGGTACTGGTACCAGACTCTTCCTCCTGCCATAAGTAACTCTAAACTTATGTGGAATAACCATTTACAAATGCTGAGCAACAGGCTGTGTGGGACAGAAAGGGAAGTAGTGTGGGGAGGCCCAAGGTCACCTGGTTTTCTGTCTAGAAACACAGTCTGGCCACAGAGCATCAGAGGCTCATTGGGCTGAGGGACAGAGGGTGGAATCAGAGGCCACGGGGTGATGGGTTTCCAGGGTGGGGGCCGGAGGAGAGGGACACCTTAAACAGGGCTGGGGACTCCCTGGGGTTTAGTCAGATGCTAAGCCGCCACACACACAAGGCCAGGAAGAAACAGCTCCCAGGAAGGAACACACACCAAGGAGACGGGGCTGTCAGCAGCCTGATTCACATGAGTTCTGACAAGCCACAGGGGAAGGCTTGTTGGCTGTCCAAGCACTGAGTAGGGACATAGAATGACCACGCCATGTCTTAGTCAGCTTGGGTGGCCATAACGAAATACCACAGGGAGATGGGTTAAACAACCAACATTGGTTTCTCACAGTTCTGGTAGCTGGAAATTCATTATCAGGGTGGCTGCAGGGTAGGGTTCTGGTGAGGGCTCTCTTCCTGGCTTGCAGATGGTGGCCTTCTCAATGTGTGCTCACCTGGTGGAGAAAGGGTAAGTTCCCTGCTGTCTCTTTCTATAAGACCACTAACCCCATCATGGGGGATCCATCCTCATGACCTTTTCCAACCCTAATTACCTCCCAAAGTCCCTACCTCCTAATAGCATCACATTGGGGGGTATGGCTTCCACATATGAATGTGAGGGGGGCACAAACATTCAGTCCATAACATGCCATAAGAGTAGGCTTGATCTTGTTCTAGAGTAAAGCCACTTTATACCCCTTCTAACAAAACTTTAAAACAAGTCCTAAAAGATCAAGTTAATCTGTAAGTAAAGTGACTGCCTAACAGAACGAAACTCAGCATTTTGTTAAGGAAGTCAACAAAATCCAGACACATGACATAGCATTCATAATGTTCAACACAAACTCAAAACTTACTAGGTGTGTGAAGAAGCAGGACCTTAAGCACTGGAAATAACAGAGAATAGAATCAGACCAGATACTGCATTAAAATGTTCAACTACTTAAAGAGAAATATAAGAAGGGAACACATTTTAAAATCTGCATAGAGAAATGGAAACTAAAAATGAACCAGGTGGAAATTCTAGGCATGAAAACTACAATATCTGAAATGAAAAATTCTAATTAGATTAGATACTTTAGAAGAAATGGCTGATTTATTTGAAGTCACTGCAGTACAAGCTCTCCAAACTGGGGCATAGAGAGAAAGAGGACTGAAATAAAAAGGAACAGAACCTCAGTGGCCCGTGAGACAGTGTCAGCAGACTAACATACATGTAATTAGTGTACCAGTAGGAGGGGAAGAAAATATTGGGGCAAGAAAAAGGATTTGAAAAAATAATGGCCAAATTTTTTGTAAATTTGCTGACAAATATAAACTCATATATCCTAGAAGCTCAGTGAATACCAAGCAAGATAAAGAAAACCACATAAAGGCACAGCATGATCAAATTGTTGAAAATCAGTAATTTTAAAATGTTTTTACAGCAACTGGCAGAAAGACACACTGAATTACAAAGGAGCATATTAAGAATGACAAGTGAGTCGGAGGCTGGCTCAAGATGGCGGAGTAGAAGGAAGTGCCCTCACTCCCTTTTGCAAGAACACTGGAATCACTGCTAATCACTGCTAAACAATCATTGACAGGAAAACACTGGAACTCACCAAAAATATACCCCCCATCCAAAGACAGATGAGAAGCCACAATGAGATTGTAGGAGGGGCGCAATCACCATAAAATCAAATCCCATAACTGCTGGGAGGGTGACTCACAAACTGGAGAACACTTATACCACAGAAGTCACCCCACTGGAGTGAAGGTTCTGAGTCCCACGTCTGGCTTCCCAACCTGCGGGTCTGGCAACGGGAGGAGGAATTCCTAGAGAACCAGACTCTGAAGGCTAGCAGGATTTGATTGCAGGACATCGACAGGACTGGGGGAGACAGAGACTCCGCTCTTGGAGGGCACACACAAAGTACTGTGTGCATCGGGACCCGGGGGAAGGAGCAGTGACCCCATAGGAGACTGAACCAGACCTACCTGCTAGTGTTGGAGGGTTGCCTGCAGAGGCGGGGAGTGGCTCTGTCTCACCGTGAGGACAAGGACAAGGACACTGGCAGCAGAAGTTCTGGGAAGTTGGTTACTCCTTGGTGTAAGCCCTCCCAGAGTCTGTCATTAGCCCCACCAAAGAGCCCAGGAAGACTCCAGTGTTCGGTCACCTCAGGCCAAACAACCAACAAGGAGGGGTCCCAGCCCCACCCATCAGCAAACAAGCAGGTTAAAGTTTTACTGAGCTCTGCCCACCAGAGCAACACCCAGCTCTACCCACCACCAGTCCCTCCCATCAGGAAATTTACACAAGCCTCTTAGATAGCCTCATCCACCAGAGGGCAGACAGCAGAAGCAAGAAGAACTACAATCCTGCAGCCTATGGAACAAAAACCACATTCACAGAAAGATAGACAAGACGAAAAGGCAGAGGGCTATGTACCAGATGAAGGAACAAGATAAAACCCCAGAAAAACAACTAAACGAAGTGAAGATAGGCAACCTTCCAGAAAAAGAATTCAGAATAATGATAGTGAAGATGATCCAGGACCTCGGAAAATGAATAGAGGCAAAGATTGAGAAGATGCAAGAAATTATCAACAAAGAACTAGAAGAATTAAAGAACAAACAAACAGAGATGAACAGTACAATAACTGAAATGAAAACTACACTAGAAGGAATCAATAGCAGAATAACTGAGGCAGAAGAACGGATAAGTGACCTGGAAGACAGAATGGTGGAATTCACTGCTGCGGAACAGAATAAAGAAAAAAGAATGAAAAGAAATGAAGACAGCCTAAGAGACCTCTGGGACAACATTAAATGCAACAACATTCGCATTAT